ACAGCTACCTCATGAAACAAACCCGAAATAAAAAAATGGCCGTTTGAAAAAAATATTTTCTTTGACAACTCCTATTTAAAATATGAAGCTGCTTGAAGTTGCCAATGCATACAGAGAGCAATATGACAAATATAAGATTAAGGAAATAGTTGCAAAATACAGGGTAACTGTTTTACACTTACTGATCGAGATCGTATGAAATCAGGAAAAGCACTATATTGCTATAACGTTGATTTCAAGGAACAGGATGTGCGTTCATTGATAGATGAAGCATTTGAACAAGTCACTGAACAAAATTTGCGTATTTTTTGTTGCACATGTCAGAGAAATAGACAGAAAAAGAAATGTGGCTCGCTGATAATCTCCAAGCCAACGTTGATGAACTTATTATAAGAGAAATCTCTTATCTTACATTGAACACTTAACCCACGCAGACCAAGATATGGGCTTAGTATGCAAACATGCATTTCCCATATACACCGATGCTGTGGAGAGGTATTTGAAGATTTGAGAATGAGCCTGAACGACATCTGACTCGACCAGGCACATCAAACGACAGATTTTCTTCAAATCTCCAAGTATTTGTTTTCACCTTTGGGGTTCAGGGATGGTCTTAATAATTCCTAAGGGTATTTTTGAGATTTGTTTCCGAATTTTTAAATTACTCTACAATTTTTGTGGTTCTCATTACATAAAACTATTTATATAATCAAGTTATTTCTAACACGTTTCAAAGTTGTAAAGTTAGTTACTTCCAAATTACATTCTACCTGGGTTCTGACCTGCTGTTATCGCGCCTCGTCGTTCTATTTTGTTCTCGACAAAAAATAATCACTCTACACCTACGCAAATATTCTACAAAGTGTGTGCAGTTTTTTTTTTTTTTCATTTTTATCAAAGAAAATGTGCTTTTTTTAAAGGAGCAAATTGATATTTTAATTTATTTTTTGGCTTGATTGCGTCTTGCCAATTATGGATAAGTGAAATGAAAAATTTTCGGAAATTTTTCATTAGTTTATTGGGAAATCTTGTGAAAGTTCTGAACAAATTCGCAGGAAAATGTCCCGGGAATTTCTCGAACACTTTGTTCTCGGAAATTTACTTCAGAATTTTCAAATTATTCTACAATTTTTGTGGTTCTCATTACATAAAACGATTTATATAATCAAGTTATTTCTAACACGTTTCAAAGTTGAAAAGTTAGTTACTTCCAAATTACATTCTACCTAGGTTCTGACCTCGCTGTTATCGCGCCTCGTCGTTCTATTTTGTTCTCAACAAAAAAAATAATCATTTATATGTCAGTACCGAGGAAATAATGTCAGCCGTGGCATTAAAATTTGGAAATTTTCTCACAGTTACCGTTGTGTTGTAGCTGTAGTAGAACCACTTCACATGCTTATTTCTGTGCATAAATAGAAAACAAAAACATGTAATACATACGCTTTAAAACATTTTTAATTTGAGAAAAATTTAAAATGTAAAAATCGCAGTTACACGAGAATCACCCATATTCTCATGAAATAGTAAAGAATATGTTTTTTTAATATTATACTTGAGGGCTCTCAATTTCAATTGTTAACAGTTTTGAATGTAAAACTATTTTTGTAATAAAAAATTTCCTAGAATTTAAAGCACTTATAAATAAAAATTACTTGTCTGACCACCTGACTTTCTGTAATAAACGTCTATTAAGGAGATTAGCGATAACGGGATTTAGAGTTACAAATAAATTATCAGACTTTGACGACAAGAATACTATTGTTTAAGATATCGAGTTCTACAATTCCAGACAGATTAGAGAAAGTTACATAAATAATGGGGAGTTAGTATGTAACTGTTTTGAGAACTGTTCAATTACCGTTTTTAAAAACTAAAGGAGGATAGTATTTAAATTAAATTCAGTCATTAAGGAATATTCCGTTGTGTCAGTTTCGTTTATTTTGAAGTGTCTTTAAAATTTTATATAGTGAATAAAGTTCCTCCCGTGGGTTGAATCTGCAGCCACTACTTCAACTGGTGGTGGTAATACCACTAATCGACAAGTTTAATACGTTGATGGGAAAAAAATATTAAGTGTTTATACCTCCCTTATGGAACGTGGAATGACCAAGACTCAAGCAGTGCGAGAAACTGCCTCTTTAACAAAAACGCCGTATTCAACAGTATTTAAAAATTAAGTAACCCTATTTTAAAAAGAAGGAAAAGAAAAGACTCTAGTACTTTACAGAAACTAGATGGCTGTGATGTAGACCTAATTCGCAGAAAAATATATGACTTTTATAGAGAGCAAATTGTGTCTACACTAGATATATTGATGCAACGAATTGAAAAGGACGAAACCGGCATCCAGTGTAGCAAAGAGACTTTAAGGAAGTCTCTTTTAAGGAATGGGTTTAAATTTAACAAATTTAATAACAGCAAAAAACTGTTGGCGATAAATGATTTTAGAGAAGCTGGCAGAACAGTTGTGTATTTGGATGAAACTTGGTTTGATACACACGATATTCCAAACAAAAGTTGGGTAGACTCATCTGACTTGTGCCAGACTAATGCGCCACATAATAAAGGCAAACCTATTACTATATTACACGCAAGAACCAATAATGATTTTATACCTAATGCGTTGTCGCTATCAGCAAAAAATATTAAGGATTCCTTAGTCGATTACCATGACAATACTACTGCCGAATTATTGAAAGATTGTTTCCAAACTAAACTTTTGACAAATATTCCACCCAACAGTGTTATCGTCATACTACAGTCGAAGACTAGATAAAGCACCTTGTTCAAACGACATTAAAGACATCATACAAGATTACATGGTAAACAATGATAGTGAAAGTGAAACTGAACTTAGTGAGTAATTTTGTTTAAATTTGTCTAAATAAATAAAATATTAGAAAATAAAATGTAAAAATTCTAAGTAATTCAAAATCGACAATTGTTTCAGAAGCATAATATTCTATCGTCAGGATTGACAATAGTGAAATTTAACCATTTAATTTTTTTGGCACTGTTTTATCTTTTACCAAGTTACCAAATTACTTTTTGTACACACTGTATAATTAAATAAACAATTATGAATTATAGCGATTTTTCTTAATATTTATTTTACCCCAATTATTGACCTATAGAACAAAACTTAATTGCTAGAGTAGGTACTTCTCTGCGTAGAGACGGCCACCTGCTGATCAGTAAATTAACTGCTGTTTTATGGTAATCACTACATCTCTGGTTTAAATATACTATTCTGTGCTTTTAGCCGCTTTAATTGGTTAAAATAATAAGGCCATTTTGTATACACTACGTACCAAAATGGAGATTCTATATTGATATGACGCTTAATATAGGAGATAGAAGGTCGGTTAAATTGAAAATGTCTGACTTTGTTTTTTTTTAATGCAACCAAACAGCTAACTTGTCATATTTTAAAGTGTTATATTATTAAGATACATTTTAATGGAGAATGTTTTTTTGGAAAATTATTTTAAAACTGTCTTCTGTTTTCAAGTTACCTGCGTAATTTTTTTCATTTGTTATCTCAGCCATCTTGGAAGTTTGCATAATATTATTGCCCTCTAATTTATCATTTAAATTAAAAATTATTATTTTTGCTAATTTGACAATGCCGCATCTATTTAATACAGTATGTGGTAAACTAAAGTGCAATAGTTTAATACCGGACAATATTTTTATTGAATATCTAATTTCATATAGTAACTAAGAACTGTATGGCACTTTTATTAAAAAAGTTCGTTTTCGTATTGTCTTGTATTGTTTTGTATTTCCAATTATTTTTTATTTTATTTTTCTTGAATATAATTCTAAATTAGTTTCAATTGTATTTATTTTATGTAATAATAAATTTGGTGGCAAAAAATGAATTTAAAGGAATGTTTAAAATTTACTTTAGTTCTATGGAACACACATGAGACGGAAGTAGAAAATAAGGTTCTAATGGTATGCAGGAACATTGCGAGTAAACGATGGGCATGTAACTACATCTAGGTAAATATTCTACAAAGTGTGTGCAATATTATTATTATTTTAAATTTATTATCAAAGAAAATAAGCTTTTTTTAAAGGAGCAAATGGATATTTTAATTTATTTTTTGGCTTGATTGCGTCTTGCCAATTATGGATAAGTGGAATGAAAAATTTTCGGAAATTTTTCAATAGTTTATTGGGAAATATTGTGAAAGTTCCCAACAAATTTGAGGGAAAATGTCCTGGGAATTTCTCGAACACTTTGTTCTCGGAAATTTACCCATCACTAATACCCATTTAAAACGATTTGTTTTAGATTTTATATATTAAATTTATATATTATATAAATTTACATATTTTCACGACGGTATTTTTTTTAATTAAAATTTAATGAACTTTTATTCAACAATTTTCATTGATAAAATTTTTTACTCACCCATAATTTATTATTTTACCAGAAATATCCTCGAGATTGTGACAAAACATTTGTTGTAATACAGGGTATCTGTTACGAATCTAGTGTTTATATGATGGAAAGTATTAATTTACTCAGTTTTATAATCATTTATCGATAAAACATAAAAATTAAAGGAATTCTGAATTTACAGAATTTACCACTCAATTTAAAAAGCATCTTTAAATTTATCCATATATAAATCCTTATAGACAGAAATGTTATTATAAAGAATGTCTATAATATAGTTGGAAGATATTTCATGAACTGTTATTTAATTATTTTAATCTAGGTACACAGACATTGTTTACATGTTTTTCTATCGATTTTAAATTTTACTAATCAGAGTAACGATTTAAAATGTGATTGAGAAACCATTCTACTTTTTCTCTAAATCGACGTTGATGTTCCTATTTTTAAGGATTTATAGATAGGTAAATATTTAAAGATGTTAGACTTTTACTATTATTTACCAAAGTAATAAAATTACACTTCACTAGTAAAATGAAAAGATAATGTATAATGTAAAGTATTAAAACAGTTAAAAGTAAGTTACCTTTTCTAAAGTCATCTCATAGGTTCTGACACTTTCTATAAGCGATATAGCAAATGGATAAAGTTGGTTCGCTTGATGTGCTTTGTTAACAATGGCCAGAGGAACTCTAAATCCTAGACATTTCAAATTACGCACTTCTTTGGCTAATGTAATAATTTCTGGTAGAAAGTTAACTTTCAATTTTAAAATATTGCCTCTGCCACTTCTAGATCTCACTGCTTCAATGGTAAAAATTCTTCCAGATACTCCAAGATTGCGCTGTTGTACGTTACGGGCCCAATCGTCGAATATTTCTTGCGTGTTTAGTTTTAGACGGAAACTGTCTCCATCTGCTTTTAGTTTTTGGCCTTCAATGTGATTTTCCCAACCTTTACCTAAAAATTTTTTTACAATACAACTATACTTTATAAATAATTTTTCAATGAATGATGTATTTCCAGATCTTTGTAATAAGATAAAAAACAAATTAAATTTAACAAAAACGATTTATGGTATCATTGACTCACCTAAAACATCTTCAACACGTCTTAAGTATGTTGTTAGTTGATGATCAATTTGTTTAGCCCACACAATAGATCCAGCAACAGGAGGTAAATCTCTAACTTTGCTTATTTTTGCACTATTACTTTGGGGATATTGAACCTAAAAGTGTACATACACGTTAAAAAAATAGTACTTCAAATTTCGGCCGTCATCTGATAATGAAATATGATCCGAGGGCATGTGTCAATCACTATCCTGATTTTATTCTGAATCATATGAGTGTTAAATTAATAAAAATATGAATAACCAATCATATCAAAGATGTTTTATTTGCATGAAAATTTTTAATACGGTTAGGAAATTATCCTCTTTCTAGAAATAAAAATGAATATACATGAACATGCAAGGTGGTACTCCACAAATGAATACATAACCTACAAAAAAAATATCTTACTTTAAACTTTTCATGAAGAGCCTCAATATCATCTTTTACTCGTTGAATTAAATGTGTCTGATATTCTCGAATAGCACCTCTGATGTGAGGTCTAACAAATAGAGCATTAAAACGGGAGAAAATTCTAAACATCTCGTTGGCATTTTTAGCCGTTCCTAACTGATCACGTAGATGAGCAGTGATTCTTGTTTCAACTCGATCAATACGTTCTTCATATCTTTGTACTGCGGCATCCCATGCATCTTGACCTTCTTTGGAAATATCTAAGCAATCTACCTCCTTTACATTTTCATAGGCCAAATTGACTTCCTGAAATTTTATTTTAATTAAATATCTAATTATGGAGAATCTTGATGGGCATAATTAAAAAGTATAGACTTAGGAATGAAGTTGAAAAGGAAGCCAGTTAAAACCATTATTAATACAAGCTGTTCTACTCAAGAAATGTTTTTCAAAATTGAATCATCTACTTGCCAAAAGTATAAAAGATTCTTATTAAATATAAATATTTAATATTTGTTTATAAAGTAAAATTTATAGAAAGCTAACAACTGAAATAAATGTTTGTAAGTACCATTTAAACTAATATAACTATTTTGATATTAATTACCTCAATTGCATTAGCATCAGCAGCATCTAGAGAGAAAGCTGGTTTTGGAGGTTCATTATCACCTCCCTCAATGGGTACAGATGTCTCTTTAATGCTAGGTCTTAAAACGCGAACAATAACTGTGCGTAATTGTTCATGTTGTCGACGGAATTTACGCATTTGATCCATTCTGCTCTGTAATTTCTTGTGTTGAGGTGATATACGCCAAACCATTTTCATATGTTCATCCCTTTTCTTTTTCATGATATCTCTGAAATTATATTATGTCACATTATAAAGATTATATAATACTTAGTTAATTAATAATGTTACCTCAAAAGAGCTTGCAACTTTTCATATTCATCTTCCCAGATGGAGAAAACTTCAAAACATTGAGTCATAACCTTTTCAAATTCATCAAATGGAATATGCATTAGACGACGGGTCCCTAAGACTTTAAGTAGTTGCCCTCCCAAATCTCTTGAAATCGCCTCTACTAATCTTAAGCATCTCTGAATGGGATATTTGGTAGATCTCACTTTTCTAAGATGAGAAAAAATGAGCTGAACTGCAGCACGGATTCTTTCTAGTTCTGTTGCAGCCAACAGATCATTGATTGGAAAGTCTTTCATAAGAGGATTGTAATCATTTACTGTAGCAATGGCTTGTTTTAGGCCTGTATCTGTATCAAAAGAAACTGTAGCATGGAATCTTTTGCCGTGCTTCAGAATGTCTAAGGTAAGAGCTACTTCCATACTTTCCCGCTTTTCTTGAATGCGGTGTAGAGCTCTTTCTAAATTGAGCCAAAAGCTGATTTCTTGAAGTGCTGTGCCAGAAGATGGATCTCTATCTAGCTTTGTTACCTATATGGGACAAATTGAGTAAGATACTAAATGTACTAAAACTTAAATTCATGAATATGTTTGAATACAAAGATAATTGAAATATTAGATTAACAAATTTTATTAAGAACTTTTCAGTATAAAAAATGAATCTTTTTATTATTAGTAAATTTACACAGTACAAGATCAAACCTTCTGACCTGCTTTGCTTATGTTGAAGAGTGTTGGCATATGCAGAAAAAACGATATAACATCAATGTTAATGGTCGAGTCACGACTGAACTGGCAACATTGATGCTATATCATTTAATTTCTTGCATTATTCTAAACAGGTCTGAAGGTTTGATTTTGCCAGCACTGTATATAAAATAATAAGGCCAACAAGTAGTACAATAATATTACATAACAATGAGCAAGAAAAACTATATTTAAAAAAAACTACAATTTTAAATAAATCATTTTTTTGTACTTTTCCTTATATTTGATCAAAAAAGGTAAATGTGATGATGTGCAGCAATATTTAAAGGTTTTGAACAGTTCACTTACTTTCTGAATTTCTTTAATCCAACGATTTACTCCATGTTGTAACTGATTTAAAAAGTTGGAATCATCTACTTTATCACTAAAATCAGCTACTTTAGGTTTCCTTCCCTCATCAGCACATTGTTTTATGAGGCTTGCCACATATGGATGTACTTGTAAAGTGATTTCTGGTATATCTATATTTTGCTGCAAATGTAGTAAGCCCATTTCCAATTCAGCAATTGTTTTTTCAACTGCTGGTGCCATTTTGTCACCATCACTAAAATTAATGTATTATATCAAATTACAATTTTCAAAACATGTAAAATTTGAATTTGTGGTGGATTCAGATTGGCGAGATCAAAATGGACTAAAAACAGCTTTCAAATGTATGGAAATTGTAAAAACGAAAATTTAAGTACTTCCAAATTGATATTAAAGTCTATTCCGATCCGAGATTCAGTAAATGTACTCAAAAGCACGCGAATGTAATTTTTGACCAGGGCCGCAATGAGGACAACATTTTATTGCAATGTAGTTTTAATGTATTTGAATTAAGAATTTTAGAGATATAAATTTTCAATACCTTAATAGCAACAAAAATTGGAAGAAAATATATTAAAAATATACAAGGTGACACTTAGAGCGATATTTATGAAGCCATCATACACATTTTTCTAATTTTAAACAAATATTTTAAAAAAGTTAGAACAGGTTGGAATAGCATTTTCAATCGTCGACGTGAAAAAAAAATATTTATATTGAGTGAAGATTATTGTATTTACTGTTGCCATTCTAGTTCGTCAGAAAACGTTTCACTCTCATTCACATTTATTACAAATTGTTCAATTTGTTGCTCTATAATATTGTCTAATTTCCACATTTTTGGCTCCACTTTTTTCTGCACGTGATCAATGCATTTCTTCCACTTTTCCGACATGATGGTAGCTATCGCATTATGAAAGATGTTTTTCATGTCAGCAAATTTAAATGTACTATTATGCTCTGCAACAAGCTTTTTTTGAGCTTTACCCATTTCATCGATGATATATTTATATTTTTTTCTGTGCTCCTTAACTATTGCTAATAGTTGCACTTTAAGTAATGTTTCATCAAATTGTATACTTTTAGAACGCAGCCAGTCTTGAATATCAGATTTCCTTGATGCAGTAGTTGGAATTTTTTCCAGTTTCCTAGAATGATACGGGGCATTGTCTAATACAACAATACAGTTATCATTCAGTTTCGGCAAAATATTTTCAAACCACTTTTCAAAAGATTTTCCGTCCATTTCCTCGTGGTAATCTCCGGTTTTTTTGGATTCAAAGTATTATTCAATCAGCCGGATAGATACCAAAATTGTAAAATATACATATACCGAAAGTAAATAATATAATAGGACTATTATTTACCTGATCGATTTTTTAATCCTGTTGAAAGTCCATCAAAAAATGCCCGTCTTGAGGAAGTGACAGAATTATCAACCCATATTTTTGATTTGGTATGTCCAGCATTTACCCAAGTCTCGTCTACAAAATAAATCTTTCTATCTTCATTCCTGTAGGATTTTATTTTTTGTAAATACCCTCTTCACCATAGCACTATTTCATCCCTGTCTATAAGCAAGCTATTTCTTCCTCGTTTTTGATATTTGAAATTTAATGTTTTCAATAATCTATACAATGCAGTCGGTTAAAATTTGGCAGGTCCAGAGCGTCATTGATGTCTTTAAGTACCTTATCAATAGTAGGGAGTTCGTTTTTAAAAAAAATATTGATGCACTATTCTTCTGATTGCATTTCTATCAAAGTCATCCACCAAATCTACAATTTGTTTACGATTTTGGTTGGTTTTTGGCGCCGAAAATGTATGGTTAGTGGTATATTCTTTGATAATTTTGTAGACGCCGCGACCACACACTCCTGTTTTACTTGCCACTTTGTTTACAATTTCATCTTTAAGTAATGTTGGATTTTCTTGGGTCTCATGCTTATAAACGTTTAAAATCATTTCATTGCTTTTTATGTCAAAATGAGACTTTTTTGACCTTTGCCTAGGAGGAGACAAATACATTTATGTAGACTCATCAGCTGTATCCGTGCTAGACATGTTCAAGTGTCCTGGATATTTTATTTAATATACCAAATAAGTATTTAAACAATACACAAAAAGTTTCGGGATATGCCCGAGGAGCAAACACACTGTTATTTAATATACTTCGAAAGTATTTAAATAAAACACAATATTCAAACTACAAGGTAACGGTATTTAAAAAGATTCAATTCAAACAACACATTTAACAACGATGCACTTCGCACTGAATCTGAGTATGCATCTGCATCAAAACAGTAAAGAGCAGCTCTAGCAGTTTATGGCTGTTTGATTGACCAATAGCATTGCAGATTCCAGCAAGCCACGAGGCGATCACGCGCTGATCATTATTTACATGTCGATGGCTTAAGTGCAAAAAGTCGTAACCCCAAAAAGTAAATTTTACAGGGGAATAAAAAAAACAAATAGACTTTAGATGTAATTTCGAAGAGAAACTTTTTGTTTTGGCGCGTAAAATTAATTTCATTTTATAATGTTGCTTACGATAGGTTTTCACAAGACGCAAAAAGCGATTTTTTGAAATTTTGTGGGTTACAACGTTTTGCACTTAAGCCATCGATGTGCTGAATCTCGGATTGGAATAGACTTTAGGTACTTGACAAGCGATTCATGAACTGGGTATACATTAAATTGTTGATACATTTTCATCTTCTGCTGGTTAATCTAGTAAAGAAGAGTACAGCGTGAACCAAATATTAAGAACATTGAACTGACATGGTAATACTTTAATAAGTCTAGAAGATGCTGTAAAAATTTGAAAAACTGCAGTTTTGTAAGAATGGGGTAAGGAGGTATTGGACATGCACCTGCCTGTATTAACAGAAATTGGAACTTACCGGTCGGCCCTACCAGATTCTTTTACATATGATTTGAAGAATGGTGCGACTGTTCTACTGACATAATCATGTAAAATCTCATATGGTGATCCATCACTGAAATTCAAAAGCCTAACTTGTGCTCTAATGCTTTTATCTGCTTCAATCACTGGACCTCTTTTAATGCATACTAAACTGGACATTTTTGAGTTGGAATAGTGTACTTCATTACTAACGTAGTACGTGACTGGTTCTTTTTCTTCTTCACCTTCGGGCGGCTGGACACTATCGTCATCTAATAGAAATTTTACAATTTTTTTTTTATCTTTACAAATCACAGACATTAAAATATAATTTATTTTCGTCTATAAATAAAGTCACAGTGATACTATTTTCTGTCCTTTTTCGACCTGTGTGTGCCTGTATCTCAATGCCTAACAAGGTAAGTTCAGAAGATATAAAATAACTTTAAAAAAAATATTACAGTAATATTTATATGCCTCTTTAAATTTGTCAATAGAAACTAATGTATTTCCAGATGATTTGAAAATTTCAACAATAGTACCAATTCCAAAAATTACCAACTTTAAGAAAGCTTTTGATCTAAGACCAGTAAACTTGTTATCTTCAATTGAAAAAATCTTAGAGAAAGTAGTGTATAATCAACTAATTAATTTTATAGACGGAAGCAAATTGATTGTGTTCAATCAGGTTTTAGGGCAAAACATAGCTGTGGAACTGCTATTTAGTGTCATCGATGATTGGAAAAGCAATAAAGATAAAAAACTTGTTACTGGAGCACTTTTCTTAGACCTACAGAGAGCGTTTGAAACTGTTAATAGAGATTTACTCATTAAGAAATTAGAAAGTTTTGGAATTGTAGAAGAAGTGTTGCAATGGGTAAATAAAATAGAAAATTGTTTTGGTGTACCTCAGGGCGAATCGTATTGGGCTCTTTACTATTTTTACTTTATATTGATGATATGGAACAAATAAATGAGGGCTCAATCCACTTACTGGCAGATGATGCACTGATTTATTTTTCCTCCAATGACCTTCAGCATTTGTTGTTGTTATGAATGGTGTGTTAAATCGTGTAGATGAGTGTGTTGTGTCAATTACCTTAAAATTAATTCATAAAAAACGAAGTTTATGTTAATAGGGAACACCAAATATTATGATGATTTTAACAAAAACAATTTGAAAATATGTTTAGGAAATCAAGAAATTAAATTAGTAAAGAAAATAAAATATTTAGGTGTTATTGTTGACCACACATTAAATTTTAAAAATCATGCCAACTATATAAATAAAACTTTTTCTTTTAAAATTAGTTATTTATATAGAACTTCAAGCTTCCTTGATCAGTGGACCAAAACAATTTTATACAACACATTGATGCTTCCACATTTTTATTGCTCATCAAATTTATACTTTTTAAATCAAAATGAATTAAGTAGAATCCAAAAATTGCCAAATAAGGCTTTGCGAATCATTCTATCTTGCAGTAAATTCACCCCATTCAGTAAATGCTTGAATCATTGAGATGGCTTTCAGTCAAAGATTATTTTTTATTTTAAACACTAATTTTAATTTTTAAAATAAAAAAAGGGGTATGGTAAATAAAACCAAATACAATTTTCACACTTATAATACAAGACACCATAATGACTTTTATATTCCACAAAAAAGCATGAACTAAAGCATTACTTATTCACAATTTTATATTACAAGATTTCTACCTTCTCTTGCAGTCTTTTTATTATGAAATATTTATATATATTGTAGAAGATCATCCTGTATGATTGATTTTGATGAGATTTGGACAGTATTGTCAGGTTTGACATAAGTGATATTTGAAATAATATTTTAGAGCTATATTAATAAAGCTTATTCGAGCTAATACTCTCATATTTTATTACAATGGCGCAGTCAAGTGAAAACATTATCCGAATGGACTATGAGGAGACCGCAGGTGAAAAAGAAAAAGATGAACATAATTTTTGGAAAGAACGAACTAGACAAAATGATGTCGAAGTGGCTGTCAATAAAAACTAGACCGGAGATGGTGAAAATACCGATGTTTGATGGTTTGGGCGAGAATCCACTGGCCTGGATAAACTCATATGAGTTTGCATGTCTTTCGAATGAATGGAATTCAACAGCTGAGAAGATCTTCCACCTTAGAGGTCAACTAACAGGCGTAGCACTAAGTTGGTATGAAGAGAAGGTTCAGATCACAGCAATGAATGAGTTTCAGTGGGAGGAATGGAAGAAGGAGTTCATCGAAACATTCGATGAAAATTACATTGTTAAATGGGAAATATATTAGAATATTTTTTCGAAAAGCAAAGGTTACTTAAATGGGCAGATGATACCATTTCTGAAAGATCTTTGATAGCTTTAGTTATTTTGGGACTTCCTACAACCATGCAAAGGCAGCTAAGTGGTAAAGAAATTAATTCGAAGCAGGAGTTACTACAAAATTTAAAATATTTAAAGATTGAGAAATTCTGCAGTGCTCCAGGTTATCAGGAGAACGGGTTGCCAAAGAATACTCAAACACATTTCAAAAAGAATCACACGTGGAAGCCAGTAGAAAAAAGGGACACTAATAGAAGAACAGAAGATGAGGTACAAGGAGCAGGTTTGAAGGACAATTTTTCTAGAAACTACTGCAATGAAATAGTTAACAATGATGTTGATGAGAAAGAAATACAGTATTTTGAAAATTATTCGAATTTTTCTTACAATTTTAATATTTCAATAGAAAATAATGAAAATGTTGTACCTGTATTAGTATATGATATAAAACTAAAGGCTTTGTTAGACACTGGTTCAGAACTAGATATAATTAATGAAAAAGTAGTTGATAGGTATACATTTCCAAAATTTAAGAAAAATGTCAGTATCAGAAGTTTAGCGGGAATAACAAGATGCTCTTATGAGTCAAGAATCCAGATAAATATAAATGGGAACGAAAAAGAAATAAATCCTGTTATTGTTGAAGATATGTTATTTGACATGATAATAGGTCGAAAAACCCTAAATAATTTGGAGATTTTTCATAATAAAGTAAAACATCTTATATCTGAAGAGAGTATAAGAAAATCATTCCCAAATGTTTTAAATTATAATGATAGTAACCCCAGTAATTATAGTACAAATTTCGATTTAAAAGAATGTGCAAAAATTGTAAGATTAAAGCCATATAGACATTCTATAGAAAAGAAGAACTGGATTAAAGAAAAAATTAAAGAATTAATTGAAAGAGACATTATTACAAAATCTGATTCTCCGTATGCCTCACCTTGTGTACTTCAGATGATATATTTTGCATAGACTATAGGAAAATTAACGAAGAAACACACCTAGATCCTTTCCCGTTTCCCATGATTGATGATATTATCGAAATTTTCGGCGGATGTAAATATTTTTCTAAAATAGATTTAAAAGATGGATTTTGGAATATTATCCTTTCGGAACATACTAGGAAATACACAGCTTTTATAACTGAAGAAGGGCATTTTGAATTTAAAAGATTACCTTTTGGATGGAAAAATTCAAGCGCTAGATTCCAGAGTATAATGCAAGAAGTATTAGGAGACTTATTGGGAAAAAAAATCTTAGTATACATCGACGACATCATTTGTGGAGGATCCGATTCAGACGAGTGTCAGGCAAACACTCTTGGAATTTTAAAGAGATTGAATGACAACAATTTTAAAATAAATTTGAAAAAATGCATATTTTGTGTAAGAAAAGTTATATTTTTAGGAAGAGTAATATAAAAAGAATGAAAAAAGAAACTGTAGAAAAGGTACAAAATATGAAGAAACCAACTGATTTAAAATCTTTACAGTGTTAGAGTGGTCTTACTAATCATTTTAGAAGTTTCATTAAGGATTATAGTAAGATTGCCAAACCGTTAGAAGAACTCAATTTATTTGGAGTGAAAAATGTGAAGAAGCATTCCAAAATTTAAAAACAATTATTACTTCAGAACCGATTCTTCGATTACCAGATTCAAAATTAAAATACGAACTAGCTACAGATGCGTCATACTATGGGTGTGGGGCTATCCTATATCAAAGAGATGAGAACGAGACTAAAAATAGACAACTCCGAGTTATAAGCTGCTACTCTTATACCTTTTCTAAAAGTGAGCTAAACTATTCAGTTACAGAAAAAGAGTGTCTAGGAGTGGTCAAGGCGGTCAAACATTTTAGAATAAATTTAGAAAATAAACACTTTGTTGTTCATACTGATCACCGAGCTTTAACTCAACTTCTAAGCAGCGCAAATCTTAGAGACCGTTTGGCAAGATGGCAATTATTTTTATCGAGTTTTGACATGGAGGTAAATCATAAGAGTGGCCAAGAATTAAAAGATAGTGATGCGATTTCAAGGTTATGTATTGATATGCCGAATGAAACAAATGATTCCTTTTGGTGTAATTTAATGGTGGAAGATCTAGAAAAGTTAGAAGATGGCAGGTATTTAGTAAAGTCTCCTAGAATGGTAAAAGAAATATTAATGATGTATCAATTAATTAATTAATTTTTTTCATAATCATAATGTTATTACAGATTGTCAATACGGTTTTATACAAAACTCAAGCACTGAAAATGCGGTAGTTGATTTTTTGGAAAAGACGGTTAACGCTGTAGATGAATCATTAAAATGTGCTGCAGTATTTCTTGATTTGGCCAAAGCATTTGATACCGTTTCCCATAACATTTTACTTGACAAACTAAATAACTATGGCATACGGGGTTTAGCATTAAGGCTCCTGAGGGATTATTTATCTAATAGAACCCAGAGCGTAAAAATTGGCAACACCGGAAGTTCTAAATCAGTAGTAAAGATGGGGGTCCCACAAGGAACAGTATTGGGCCCAATTCTGTTTCTGGTTTATATGAACAACATTACACAAATTAATAACTTATCTGGAAATATCATATGCTATGCGGATGATACGGTAATTATTTTCGCTGGAAAAGAATGGGAAGAGGTTAAACTCGCTGAAGAAACGGCCCTAAGAAAGATAAGTTTATGGTTAAATAACAATCTACTAACTTTAAATGTATTGAAAACAAAATGCATTACTTTTAGTTCAACCATCGTTAATCAACCTAACAGCTTTTGTATAAAATTGCATAGTAGTGACTGTCAAAAAAGCGATTGTAACTGCCCCTTGATAGAAAAAGTTTCTCAAATTAAATACCTAGGTGTAATACTTGATCAATACATACGGTGGTCTGAGCATATTGTCCATGTTAGTAATAGACTGAG